GGATCAGGCAAACAGTCACGTTTGCATTGGCGGCAAAGTTGCTAAGCTGCAAAACATCATTTCATTAAGGGATTAAATTTATGTAGCTTACAGTACCTTCAAACACCAGGAATCCTTTTTTGACTATCCACTGCCATTCTCTACACTTGGCATTCATTTAGTGGATGACCTCTCAACAACAGTTGATTTCTGCAAGTCTGAGGAAATAGAGAGCAACATTTTTCTTGTCCCCTATCACAATCAATTCGTTTCAATTCCTCTTTTACATACAGAGTAATTCTTTATCAGCACTTTTTGTTTAATAGTTCATGCATTTCAATAACATTGTTGAAAATGAATCCGAGTTAATAAACAATATGGATTTCAGGCTTGCAGCTTAAACAAAAAAACTTATCCGAGTTAATAAACAATACGGGTTTCAGGCTTGCAGCTTAAAAAACAAAAAAACAACAAAAAAAGTACCTAATCGTGGAGTTTGAGCGAGAAGGGACGACTGGACCAGCTGCCAAGTCCTGGTATGCAGATGGCTACTCCTGGTGGCCACCATATAAAGATCTTGACAGGTTGCTGAAGAGTGTTAGGACAATGGAGGCACCACAGCCAGAGAAAGGGTGGACCCGACATAGAGCAAGAATCCTGAACGAGTCAGGTAAGAGTAAATTATGCTGTAAATTAAACAATGATCTTGCCCAGATTACCTGTATTTCATTTTTCAGAATCTTTGCACATCATTTATCCACACTGTAAAACATGATCTCACATAGCTTTAATAAACAAAAATGAAGCCGTACCTGCATTTCTTTTTTTCAGCATCTTTTCAGAATGTGGCTAAGCCATACCTGCATTTATTTTTTTCAGCATCTTTTCAGAATGTGGCCAACAACTGGAAGAAGGCCAGCTACACTTCTGACATAAACTCAGAACCTGAAATTGCTGGAAAAAAGATTCCCAAGTAAGTCCTCACAAAAAGACAAAAGAAATGGTTTAACAAATGAAAATGGCATCATTTGCCTTCATGTGTCATCTATCTTTAAAATGATTCAACTGAGC